ATGATTGTACTCAACAAAATTTGGACATTTATATACCCTTGTATTATACATAGAGCTTTTTTTAGTAAGGGTATTTTTGGGCGTTAGGAAGGGTGTGATATCACCTACATGAAGCATTAAATGCCACTAGTGTGCTCCATGTGGGTGATGTCGTATCCCATGTGGATAACATCACACCCTCCTAATGACCAAAAATACCCTTATTAAAAAAATGCTGTGTATAATACAAGGGTATAAGTGTTCAAAGTTTGTTGAGTACAATGATAAATTACTCCATAGTGTGAGCACCTTAACATAAACCTATATATATATATATATATGTTTCATTTATCTCTCAAGTCTTGAATCATTTCGGCTAATGGAGAATGCGAACACTTTATGTGCAGGGAAAGCGTATAATGTCCTTGGATATTGGTTTACTAATGGCGGGCGCCAAGGAGCGGGGGGAGTTGGAGGCACGAGTTAATAACATATTGAGTGAAATCCAAAAAGAAGGTTTCTATTTGTGTTTCTTTTTAGATTTTGCTTTTCATCCTTGATTGAAATGTTTGTTAGCTTTGTAAGATGAACTTATGAACCAGGATATGTTTGTCTTTTAATCTCACATGGCCTGCCTTTTTCTTGATGAAGGTAACATAATTCTCTTCATTGATGAAGTGCATACACTCATTGGGTCTGGATCAGTTAAAGCAGGCAAAGGGTCAGGTCTCGATATTGCCAATTTGTTGAAGCCTTCTCTTGGGAGGGGTGGTTTACAGGTAAATTAGTCGTCATGTGCTAATGTTTCAGTCAATATAAATTATTTGGTAAAACTGAAAGAATAAAAGGGTGCCATGCTTTATGGGGTAGTTCTAAGGGAATACAGTCTTTTCCTTTGGAGGTGTTTGTTTGTCAATGATAAATGGCCCTTTAATCCCTTTTGCATGGAGCTATCTCTTATACAAAATATGAATGATCTACCTCTTAATCACGTAAAATTAATTGTGAAAACAGAGTTATAAGGTTCCAATTTTGGTGAACTTGATTGATGATCTGGTGAGAAAATGACAGTTTCCTGTGACATTCAGTGTATGGCTTCTACAACAGTGGATGAGCACCGTCAACATTTTGAGAAGGACAAAGCATTAGCCCGGAGGTTTCAACCTGTGCTAATAAATGAGCCTAGCCAGGTAAACTTAATGGATGCCTAACAGGGTAATATAGTAGATTTTGACGCTGGAGCGTAAGATACGAATAGTTCTTTTGAGCATTTTTCATTTTGGTGGTGGTTTTTTAGGAGGATGCAGTAAAGATATTATTGGGTTTGCGAGAGAAGTATGAATCTCACCACAATTGCAGATTCACCTTGGAAGCTATAAATGCAGCTGTCCATTTGTCTGCAAGATATATTGCGGATCGACATCTTCCCGACAAGGCCATTGATCTCATTGATGAAGCTGGAAGTAGAGCTCGTATGAATGCTTTCAGGAGGAGGAAGGAACAACAAACCAGTATCCTTTCGAAGAGTCCTACTGAGTATTGGCAAGAAATCCGAGCTGTTCAAGCTTTGCAAGAGGTGGTTTCTTGTTTTTGAACTTAAAATATGCCTATTTTGGTCAAATGGCTTTTGTCATGTGGGCCAAATGAAGTCTTTGAGGTCAGACCAAGTTTAAGCCAAAATTATTTAAAATTCTATTATTTATTTATTTATTTTCTTTTAATGTTAAGAGAAAAATGGCACAGGTTAAGAATTCATCTAGGTTTCAGAAGATTCAAATAAAATAAATTTTATTCTTTTTGGGAAAAATTTGCACTAAGATATTGGTATGGGTGTAGGCTCTGATCCTTGTTACCCCCTTTGCAAGTGCCAACACAAGCTACATTTGGAAGCTTAGAAGTAAACCTTCACTCTGTTTTTGCCAAATTTTGTTAGAAATAACCCCTTACCGAATTTTAGGCAAGTCCTTCTGAAAGTGAAATTAGCCAAAATTTGGGATCCCAGGACTGGATTTGGTCGATCTTTCAAAATGGACATAGGTTAGATTCAAGTCTTTCCTTGAATTATGCTCAATACTAAACATTAGGAATAACATTTTTTATATTCTTCAGCAGGTCCTAGCCAATAAAAATACATACTCACTGAACGATGATAGTGGAGACAGTTCCGTCATGGTCCCTGGAGTTAAAAGTGAAGTTGATCCTGCCCCAGAACCAAATGTGCCTGGCTCATCAGATGAAAATGAGTATGTATAGGAATGGCAATTTGTAAATCTCTCCCTCTCCCTCCCTCCCTCCCTCCATTTTGACTTTAACTAATTTTGGTATGTTTCTTGTAGGCCTGTTATGGTCGGGCCAGATGACATAGCCGCAGTTGCTTCTTTGTGGTCGGGGATCCCAGTACAGCAGCTAACTGCAAATGAACAAATGATGTTGTATGGTCTTGATGAGCAGCTCCAGAACCGTGTGATTGGTCAAGATGAGGCTGTCAGTGCCATCTCTAGAGCCGTAAAAAGATCACGAATTGGCTTAAAGGACCCCAACAGACCTATTGCCGCCATGCTCTTCTGTGGCCCAACTGGAGTTGGTAAAACTGAACTAACAAAAGCCTTGGCTGCAAGTTACTTTGGATCGGTGAGTCTTACGTGGACCAATTTTTTGTAATATTGACACACTTAAGAACTGTCACATTTCGCAATTCTTTTATATTTTCTTCTTCTTCCTCTTCTTCTTTTTCTCTCTCTGTTGAGATATGGCTAGTTTGGATCTGTAACACCTTTTAGGCCAATTTTTTGTTATGTAGGAACTGTTATTGTCCATTCTTCTGTAGTTTTGTTCCTTTTTCTTGAAATAAGGGAGAAATACATGGCAAATAGGCCCAATAAGTCTAAATTTATTCACTAGTTTTCTTTCTCTTTTTATTCTTTTCAGTCTTTGGTTCAAGTTAAAATATTGTGCAATGAATTTGCTTGGGATCGGCGAGGTCTGAGTACTAATTAAAATGATATAGGTGTGCATATTTACACTAATACATACTGTAAAGGTGGAATGCTCAAGTAAAACTCAAGGTGGGCCAACAAGGTCATAGCTCAACATGCCTATAAATACAGTTATCCAAGAGCCTTTTCTGTTTGTTATAGTCCATCATACATGGCTCAATTGTTGGCTTTGTCGATATAGCTTCAACCATTTTCCTTGGGAGTGTTACTTTGACTTTCCTATTTATAATTTGGCTTTGTGGTTTGCATCATTTAGGAGGATGCCATGATAAGATTGGACATGAGTGAATTCATGGAGGCCCATACTGTGAGCAAATTGATTGGATCACCCCCTGGATACGTAGGCTATGGTGAGGGAGGGACTCTCACTGAAGCTGTTCGGAGAAAACCCTTCACTGTGATACTCCTCGATGAAATTGAGAAGGCTCATCCACAAATATTTAACATCCTGCTACAAGTGTTTGAGGATGGCCACCTCACTGATTCTCAGGTATGTCTAGTAAAGAAATTTGGTTTTATTAGAATTTCTAGCTTCCATTTATAAACTCAAGTTAATGCACTTTTTAATTTTTCTGTATTTTAAAAATTTAATAGTATTAACATTAAGACCCCCCATCCAAATATGGGAATGGACAGGGCCGGAGAGTATCTTTCAAGAATACTCTGATCGTTATGACATCAAATGTGGGATCAACCTCTATTGCAAAGGGTGGGCGTAACACCATCGGCTTCTTGATTGCTGACGACAAGGAGTCAAGCTCTTATTCTGCAATCAAAGCTCTAGTTATGGAGGAGTTGAAGGCATTTTTCAGACCAGAGTTACTCAACAGGATAGATGAAGTGGTCACTTTCCGGCCCCTCGAGAAGAGACAGGTTTGCTGCCTTTTTAACCTTAAAAATCTTGGATATAAGAGCACTGTAACACTTGTTTTTAATCATTAAAAAAAAAAAAGGAAAAGAGAAAAACTTACTATGGTGCTTGTTTCATGTTTGGGAAACTGGTTTTCTAAGTAGGTAACTTTACTTTTAAACACGACTGGGCATTCTTCCAAATTAATTTGTGAACGCATATCAGTAGGTTAATTATAGATGCATCAAGAGTCAGCTTCTTTTTAAGAGAGAGTGTTAGGAGTTAGGACCTTTAATGAACTTTTAATGAATTTGAGATTTTGCAAAGTGTGGTTGATGATGTCTCCTTTGCAAACTGAATCTCTTATTGCGAGTTGTTACTAATTGTCAATTTTGATAGTCGATACTATGGTGCTCGCCATACTCATGAGGAATATCTCAGAGAGATATTCTTGTGCTTGTTTCTCACCATAAAACATGAAAGAGTATTGTGGCTGCTTCTTGGTTCTTACCGTCTTTAGTTATTTCTTGCAGATGCTAGAGATTTTGAATCTAATGCTTCGAGAGGTGAAGACCAGACTTCTTTCTCTAGGAGTCGGCCTAGAGGTCTCTGAAGCCATCAAGGATCTCATTTGTGAACAGGGTTACGACCGAAGCTATGGGGCTCGTCCCCTACGAAGAGCAGTGACCCTATTGGTCGAAGATGTTCTTAGTGAAGCCCTTCTTACAGGAGAGTACAAGCAAGGAGACACTGCCTTAATAGATGTAGATAGCACTGGAAACCCATTTGTCACAAGGCACGAAAACCCGGATCGATCTGATCACAATATGCATTTCTCTTCAGTGAGATCAGCTTTGTGATGCCCAAGAGTATATAATATACATTATGTGCATACATACATACAGAGTCTTGATTCATGTTTATTCTGTTGGGACCCCATGGGGTTTATTCTTCTTTGTATAGTTATAAGTGAATGTTTATTTTTATTATGAATTTATCTATAGGCATTATTCTTTTAAAAATGGAAAAGCAAAAGAGGTCCTAAGAGCTGTGAATTTATCAGCAAGCCATGTAAGTTTAGCATTCAAGTTAAAAACATGTGGTTGTGTATATGAGGATGTAACCCTAAGGTTGCATTAATCTACGCCGTACATTTATTGGAATGATGTGAATTTGGCATTGCTCAAAAGAAATACCTTTTTTTGGTGTTCTCTTAGAGACATATTAAATCTACATCGTTTAATTAAAATACACAGCGTAGAATACTTCAATTACAGTTCTACAAGTAAAACGGTCCGCTCTATACAAATCAGCCACCTCTGCCAATAGCTTGAGAAGACACTTCTATTGGGTGGCATGAAAAAACTGGAGCTTCTCCATTTAAGCCCATTTTAACACTTTTGAAAGCTGTTAGCAAACATGAAAAGTGATACTTTAGCTGGAAATTAGAACTTCCAACGGTCGAACACACCCTTGAAGTTAGAAAAGAGAGAAAGGGAGACAAAATGACATTTACATGAAAAACAATTTATATAAGGCTGGGGCTCTAAAGAATCAAATTAAGGCGTACCTCATAATTTTACTGGGAGATGTTTGAAGAAGCCGTACGTCACGCTAAGCTATAACAAAGGGAAAAAGCTCGCTTATCTTATGGCTTAGCTTGGGTAAACGGCTTTGAGCAAGAAAGTTAGTATGCTCGTTAACATGCGTACGAGACTTAGCATTCGAGAGGGAGCTTTTTCGATGCCGAGAAACTGTCAAATCGATCATCTCGACCTCTAGATATATAGATGTAAAAAAGTTGAATTTCAAATCTTGTAAATAGTGCATCTTATAATGCATAATTTGGACAGTTAATTTTCAAGATTTTCAAGGTTTTATAGATCTGTTTGATCTAAACTATTTTTGCAGCTTTGGATATTTTTATAATAAGAGATAACAATATATTTTCAGGTTATCACAAGTATTTTTAGTATTGAAACATCTTTCAACACTATTTGAAGTGTTGTGCGTGGAAGCTCTAAACCTGATGGGTTAATATTTTGCAAATAAAACATAACACAAAGATGAAATAAATCATCGAATACATACCACAAGAATAAAAAGATTTACGTGGTTCACCCAAAGAGGCTACATCTACCGGCACGGCAAACTGAAATCCACTATACCAATGAACGTTACATTAAAGATTTTGGAATAAAGACTTATCTCTCTAAACCTCGACAAAAACCTAGTCGAGCAAACTCTTTTAAACCACTCTCCCTTCTCTTTATTTCTGAGAATCATTACCGACAACACCACATAGAGACCCGAGAGCAACGAGAAACTGACTATCTCTAACTAAAAGGGAAACCACCCAAAATCTCAATAAGAACCGCTTTTCTACAAGAAACAAACTTCTCAATCTTCGAGAGTCTAAAATCCTTTCTAACAAGAAAACTTGCATAAATTCTCTCTAACATGAAAACTTGCATTTTATGCACAAGGGACTCTGCCTCCATCTTTCTCTAGATGAACCACCATTCATATATGGTGACCCAAATTGGTCGCACAAATTCTCTACATATTTATCTCATATATATAAGATTAAGATTCCATATTAAATAGGAAACTTCCTATTGATGTACATTTTTATCTCATATATATAACATTAAGATTCCATACTAAATAGGAAACTTCATATTGATGTTACATATATCTCAAAAGATCAAAAAATGTATCCAAGAGTCCTAACCCTTTTTGGATTTTTAATTCCCTTAGTAAATTTATCAATATCAATATCAATCCCACATAATATGAGATTTTTTGATGTTGGTGATTTTGGATAGCGCCAAATCCAACAATCTCAACCTTGATTACAAAACCACCTGCTCACCATGCCAACATCCATTTGATAGCTTCATGGATTCTTCATCTTTTGCCAAATAAATTCATTCATCATTCTTACTGAAAAATTAGTGTTTGCCATCATATTTTTCCACCCCGAACCTTGCATTCGAAACCTTTATTGCCGTGCTAACATCCTTGGATAGCTTCATGGATTCTTCATTTTTTGCCAAATAAATTTATTCATCATTCTTACTAAAATATTAGTGCTTGCCATCATATTTTCCCCCCCTGAACCTTGCATTCGAAACCTTTATTGTCGTACCGAAAACCCCAAACCGGGGTTTTGATACCACTTGTTATGTGCAGAAGCTCTAAACGGGTAAATATTTGGCAAATAAAGTGTGAGAAAAAAAGCATCAAACACATACCATAAGAACACTAAGATTTAAGTGGTTCACCCCATAGGGGCTACATCCACAAGCACTACAAACTAAAATCTACTATACCAATTAAAGTTACATCAAAAGATTTTAGAGCAAAGAGTAACATCTCTAAACCTCAACAAAAACCCAGTTAAGAAAACCCTTTTAAACCACTCTACTTTCTTTTCATTATTTTTGGCAACTATTACCGACAACACTAGATAGAGAGATGCGAGAGCAACAAAAAATCGATTTTCTCTTTAACTAAAAGGGAAACTATTAAAAATCTCAATGGGAACCGCTTCTCCTCAAAAAAACAAACGTCTCAATCTTCGGGAGTCAAAAGATGGCACTATCACAATGTTTCTCTCTATAGAAAGCTTTCTTTCATCTTATGCATAATAAGCTTTACCTACCTCTCTCTCTAAAAGAACCACTATTCCCATATGAAGATCCAAATTGGGCACACGAATTCTCTACACAAGATTAGGAGTTCATACTAAATAGAAACTTCCTATTGATCATACATATATCTCAAAAAACCAAGAGATATATTCAAGAGTCCTGCTTCTTTTTGGATTTCTACCTCCCTTATAAAAATCATCAATATCGATCTCAATCTCATAAAATATGAGAATATCTCAATCCTATATAATATAAGAATATCACAATCCAAATGAGAATATATCAATCTCACATAATATATGATTTTTTTAATATAGATGATTTTGGATAGGACCAAATCCAATATGATTCTGTCATACTTTGATTGTTCAGCGCCTCAAACTTACACAAACCACTTCCCTTTACCCACATTACAAAAAAAACCAAGACTACACTTTCTATGCAACTTATCCCAACCTTACTCTTGCTCTCACTTTTTTCCCCAAATTGGACTTTTTATGCAAATACCCCCTCAATTCAAAAAGTTAATTTTTTAAAATGAAAATGCCCTTCTCGTACACAAAAAAGCATTTTGACCGGATGTTAATGTTGATTGACCGACCCCAGTAGCACATTGCCGGACGCACCAGTAAACCGTCAAACCCATGTTATTTCTATCAGACCGAACTTGTCAACAAACGAACCCCATGTTAACAAGAAAACATCTACTGGACCGAATTTCCCAATCACCGAACCATACATGCAAACTATCGGAGCGGCTCTATGATCGTCGAACCCCTTTTTGATCCAGTAACTTCTACTGTCGGACCGCAACAGTGACCTACCAAACTACGCATAGAACATGAGGAGAGAGAGGCGTGGGTAGGGTTAAAATAAAAGGAGGGTAGTTTAGTCTTTTTTTTTACTTTTTTTTTATTTTGGTGGGAGTACTTGCATGGAAAGTGTGTTTTGGAAGAAAAAATGAGAGAAAAACTTAGGTTGAGGATAAGTTGCATAGAAAGTATACTCTTGGGGGTTATTTGTAATTTTTCCTTATTTTGACCTTTATGGATGCTAGTGCCAAATATCTACGATAAGTTCAGTTTATCTTTATTTTATCATGATGAGTTTTCTTATTGATATTTACTAATAATATTATGGAGAACAAAACAATAGAGGAGTTTTAAAGCTTCTCGTTATTATCACTATAAAAACCTTCCCTAAGAATGAAATGTGTGTAACTCAAAAGCAAAATCATTGTTTTTTAAATTTGAAAAGGCGTATGTCATCCACTTATAAACAATTCTAAAATATCAATGAGGGAGTTGGGAGCAACTTGTAGGGAATTGATAAAAGAAAACTAAAATTAAAGCTATGAGTAACTATTTTTTATATTTTAATTTCCATTTTTACTATACATTAGCTTTGGCTTTTGAATTTTTTTTTTATTTAGCTAAGTTTTCATTGCCAATAATTTAAATTAAAAATTTCGAATTCTTGATAAAAAATCTATAATATATATTACATAAATATATTAATTTAATTGTTTTTTTGGGTAACTGTATTAATTTAATTGTTAGATCTTAATTAAGATTTAATACTAAAAAAAGTATCAAATCCTAATTGTCAATAAATTCCTTTTTACAATGACAAACATGATAATATCCCAATAACAACAATTTTCACCAGGGTAGTGCAATAACATCACAACATCAATTTTGAACCTAGAAGATCAGAAATTATGTTTGTGAACAAAAATTAACACTGTACCTTTAAGGCTGAAGTTAATGTTTTCCAAGTATGTTTATGAGCAAAAAACACAGAAGTCCATGACTGCAATGTACAAAGTAAAAATTTATTTCATCTTAAAAATAAAAAGATAGAACTCTAAAGTCGATTTTTTTCATAAAAAATAAACTAAACATATTTTAAAAAGAGAAAAAGTTTATATAGAGCCAAGGCTCCAAACAATCAAATTAGAGCCCACCTCAAAAATTTCTCTAGAAGAGGTTTTTTTGATGCCCAAATATCCTCAAATTAATTATCTCGACATCAAGATGCATGGACATAAGGAAAAAAAATGGATTTCAAGATTTGAAAATAGTGCAATCTTATAATGCATTTTTGGACTATCAATTTTCAAGTTTTCATAGATCTGTTTGATCTACATTATTTTTGAAGCTTTAAATTTTATAATTAAAGATAAAAATATATTTGAGAGCTATCACAAAGATTTCCAATTTTGAAACCGCATATTTCAACACTATTTGAAGGTGCGCTTTACTTTGATTGTTTAGAGTGTCGGCTCTATACAACTGCACCTTCTAAAAATAAAAAGATATTAGCCAATTCTTTCTAAGAAAATTGTTTCATATAGGCTGGACCGCATTTCTACATATGCGGTCCAAAAAGTGTAAAGCATCCATCTTAAAGATGGATGCAAGTAAGTGTTCTATCAAAAAAACAATTAAAACTAACAGTACAAATGTTTTCTTAATAGAATTATTATTTTTAGTTTTTAAAATTTTTTTGTTTATTCATATTCATGATATTAGAGATTTCGTGTCTTTAAAAATTAAGTCTTAAAATCCATCTTAAGAGGGCCGCATTTCTACATATGCGGGCTTGGCCGCATAGAAACCGGTTTTCTTTTCGTTTATGGGATCAAGAGCGGTCCTTTATATTTCATTTTGAGACTAGGGTTTTTGCTTCTCGCTCCTCCTTCCCTGGACGTCATTTACGGTTCTTCTCTTCGGTGATTAATTTTATTCTGATACTATTGTTTGATGATTTATGAGGAGAGTATGCATCTGATATCTTGATTTGGGGTTTCAAATCAGTTGTTTAGATAGTTACTCTTTGTCTAGCGTTTGGGATTTGTCATTAATGAGTCAGAACTGATTTAGGGTTATTTGAACTTGTGCAAAGTTGAGATCTCACATGTCTGTTTGGTGTGCCCATCAGATAAATTGCATCGTAAACTAGTATTGTATCTTATAATACTCAATACCTTGTTTCTCCATGTTGGATTTTCACACTGTTTCGATTGCAGGTACGTGGACCTTTACTTTGTAAGGATTTAAAAATCTTGGCAAGATGCAGAACGAGGAAGGGCAAAACATGGATCTCTACATTCCGAGAAAATGGTGAATTTTAATCTAAACATATGACTATTGTAATAATTGGTTGATCAGGGTTTCAGGTTCCCTCCTATCGTTCCTATTGATTGTTTTCTGCTATTATAGGCAATGTTTTTTTTTTTTCGAATGTTATTATAGGCAATGTTAAGAAAACACTTCTCAAAAATTGCAAAAATGTATATAAAAAAAAAACTTGTTAAAAATGATTAAAAATGAGTAAAAAAGTTTGATTGTACCTGTGTGTCACTATTGTATGTAACATGAAAACATTATATGGAAACTGGTATATGGAGAAATCTATATTTATGTTGAAACAATAAAGAAAAAATCCAAAATAAAGGAAAATATAGAAAATAAAGTGCATAATAAGAAAAATTGAGCAATCATAATATCAGTTATATATAAACACAGATATACATAATTTATAGGTGATCTTGTAAGATATATAATCTCTTTTTTTTGGTATTACCAATTTTGTATACAAAACTTGCCTCCAGGACTAGTAATTCGACCGATTCCGAGTCTACACCGAGTTTCAAATCACTGATTATTGGACTACTTTTCGTTGTTCAATATGCTAACTCAAGATGAAATATGTCATGATATTTCTAACTGGAATGGTATGCTACAGCTCGGCCACAAATAGACTTATCACCTCCAAGGACCATGCATCGGTCCAAATTAACATTGGCCACGTAGATGAGGATGGGATTTACAGAGGCCAATTCACCACGTTTGCCCTTTGTGGATTTGTCCGTGCCCAGGTTATTATTTCCACTATATCACTTCACTGTCTTTTATTTCTTTACTTGTAATCTCGTGAATTTTTTTGTTGATTTTTTAATGATGCTGGTATTTGGGGTTGTACTAGTTATTTTCATTTTGATGTGTTTTACACAGATTCCCTTCCCCTTGTATGTTTCTCATGTAGGTTTACCACTAATAGATTATCTGGAGATTACTATACTCTAATTGTAGGTTACAAGCTAACAATAAGAAAAAGTAAATCTTATGAGTTACGAATTCTCGTTTAAAATTGTATGAAGTTGGACCAAGAATGTATATTGATTTACTTGTATTCTGTTGCGTCATGTCCTCCCTGCGTTGTCAAGAATGGAGTTTCAGTTGACTAATTTTTGTTTTGTAACTAGAGACTCCAGAATCTAGATTTATTATGGCAAAAGTAGGGTGCATATGATGTTCTTTTTACTGCTTCTGTCAAGCCTTCTACATGTCTCAGTTTATCATCCTTCATATTGCATCTTTCTATAAAAGGCGAATATTCTACTACTCTTTTCCACATACGTCCAGAAAATTTACTCCCTCTCTAGGTTTTCTCGCACCTGCCTATCTGTCTTCCTCTTAATTGGAGAACCTCATAAATCCTAATCTCCTAATTTTCTCTTAATGGGCTTCTAAATTTTATGTGTAAGTACTAAAATGTACTAAGTTAAAAATGGTATGAGTAACGGGAAATTTTGATTAAATTTGAATGCCAAAAGACACTCGGGACATTCTCCAATCTGACAATGATTTTAAAAGAGAAGCTCTTTCTAACAGGCAAATGATCATGTAGAGAAAATCAATTGTTGTATTGCCCTCACATGCTGGCAAAATGGCATATATCATAAAACTGCATAGCCAACTACTGAGATGCTCAAGAGTATTCCACATAAAAAATTTCTATCTCTAGTACTGTATTATGCATGTCTGTATTCAATACTTGTGTATTCTGAATGGTCTATTTTGGAGGAGATTGGAGCTAATAGGTTGCAGAAAGCATATCAGACTAGCACTCACACTATTGGCAAATTATTTAAGAACCATGTGAACTTTCACAAACTATTACAACTTGTGTGAAACATTGTGCAAACGAATTCTATGGCACAAGAAATGCTCTTTTACAGTTTGACATAATGTTAAAGTGTAGTGTATCATATCGGTATGAGTATTGCAGGATTGTTTGGAATAAGACCATTTACCGACAGTCAAAAGGTTTACAGTCATCCCTAGCTGTTAGATGTAAAGTCAGGCCACTGGGGGTGTGCCACTAACGTTCTCGGAGCCCTAGAAAATTTATTTCGGACTGCAGGTAGACTGGTCATACTGCTTGGAGAAATTTATCGCATGTAGCGTATCAATTGTATGACTTTTTACTCAATTGTCAAAATACACCTGAAATATCAACTATTTTAACACCAACTATTTTAACTCATGATTATTCGTTCTTTGATGTTTTTGTTTTTGAAATTGAATAGAAAGAAATGCACAAGTTCATCTTTTGGGTGCTTTTTGATATATTTCCTAATGTTTATTTCCCTTTAGAATACCACTATATATAGATGGTTGTATCTTTTGGTTGTCATGGATCTTTATACAATAAATATGGCTTGATTGAAGATGGTTGTTTGTTTGTAGGGCGATGCCGACAGTGCGGTGGACCGGCTTTGGCAAAAGAAGAAGGCTGAGTTGAGGCAGTAGGATGTTTCAAATGACTTGAAGCATCATTGTGTTTTATGGAAACCTTAATTTTCATTATACAAAGACTTTGGGTGGGCCTATGGCTCTGTTGATTGGACTCGTTTTGCTTTTGAGGTTAAGCAAGCCATTTACCTTCTATGCTTCAGGGATTCCTTTGAGGTTATGATTCAGTAAAGTATTCCTTACGTTGGCTAGATGTGAAGGTTTAACTGTGCTCTTTGCTCAGTTTTTGTTGAAGATTCGATTTTGTTTCAGATGAAACTATTTCAATATGCTGCTTTTTATATTTATATATTTATTTAAGGGTGTGGTTTGAATAAGGCCAAGGCCCTAAACAATCAAAGTAGGGCGTACCTTCAAATAGTGCTAAAATACGTAGCTTTAGTATTAGAAATCTTCATGATGGCCTGAAAATTTATTTTCATCTCTAAATATAAAATTTAAAGGTGAAAAGTAGTGTAGATAATGTAGGTATATGAACACTTGAAACTATTGAAAATTGACCGTCTAGATAATACATTAAGTTGGTATAGATCTTTAGAAAGTTATGACATGGATATGGGATTTAATTTTTTTTATAGATCCGTGTTAAATTTAATGGTGATCTTTTGGAGTTTTACACTTATACATATGGGTAGGGGAGGGTTAGGATCATTTCTCGTACATTAAATGATGCACTATTTTTATTGACTTGGAATTTTTTTTTTTTTTACGTCTATTCTTTTTGAGATTTAGATAGCCGAATTGAGGGTTTTTTTAGCATCAAAACAACTTTTTTTAGTGAATTTTTTTTTTCATCTTGAGATCGAGATAGTTGAATTGAGGGTTTTTTAACATAAAAAAACAACTTTTTCTAATGAATTTTGGAGGTGCGCCTTAATTTCATTGTTTAGGGCTCACCCTTGTATCAACTTTTCTGCATTTAGTGATTGCTATTTGATCATTTTAGAGAGGTCAAATTTCAATAAAGGAAAAAAAATGAGGTATATTTGTGAAAAAGAGGTTTAAAGATCAAGGACGGCCCAGAGGTTGGTAAAAGGGGTTTAAAAGATAAAAGGATGGCCTTGAGGTTGGTAGCAAGGTGGAGAGCAATATTCGCCTAATCAAATTGGAACCTGCATAATCAAATTGGAACCTGGTAGCAAGGTAGAGAGCAATATTCGCATAATCAAATTGGAACCTGGACACGAGTTAATCAAATTGGAACCTGGACATGAGTTTAGAGAGCAATATTCGCATAATCAAATTGGAACCTGGACATGAGTTTAGAAGTGGTTTAACTGGCCAATTCAACTGTTCTAACTGGACAAGTTTCGGGCTTTCAAAAAATGTATTGAAAAAAATAAAAAAGATACAAAAAAACTACTAAAATATAAAAAGCATATAAAAATGATTAAAACAAAACACATTCAAATGAAGTTAAAAATTAATGAAAAAAAGAATTTTAACGAATAGATTTGTGTCTAGAGGTATTTTTAATTTTTTTTAAAATGATGGGAAAATATAAAAGTTAGTATTAATGATGAAAACAATTTTTAATCTTTACCATAATGTAAAGAATATTACAAAATGCATTACAAATCAAATTCTTCATTTTTAGGAATTTATATATATATATAGAGGAAAACACTACACAACGCCTATAGCCGAAAATGAACAGTGATTTTGCCTACCCCCATCAATGTCCACGGTTCATCGCGCGGTCACAATTGTCCGGTAGTATTTTATTTTCTTTTTTTCTTTTTTTAAATTGGAATGACCTAAAGTTTGGAGCGTGTATTCATCAAAAATACGGGAATCTTCAAAAAATATAAAAAAAATATTTTACATATAAAATATTGACCAAAATACCCCCGAAACATTTTTAGGGTACTTTGATCAAATTTTTTTCATGAATATTTTTTTATTATTATTAGATGCGCCTCAGTAAGATGTACATACCCTCCAAATTTCAAGTCATTCCGATTTATAGAAAAAAAATGAAAAATAAAACACTACTGAAAAATCGTGACCGCATGATGAAACTTTGACGGTGATGAGGGTAGGAGAAATTACTATTTATTTTCGCCTATAAGCATTAGGAAGACTTTTCCATACATACATATATATATATACCCTCATCACTGTCTAAGTTTTATCGAGCGGTCACAATTGTTTGGTAGTATTTTATTTTTTATTTTTTTTTCTATAAATCAGGCTGACCTGAAATTTGGAGGG